TCTCAATAGTTGAGGTTGCAATTTATTTTCATTTCTATATCATTCTGTATTACAGCAACTGTGCATAGATGATATTCATTTTTGTCACATGAATATAAAAATTCACAAGACAGATGAAAAAGCAACTTATTCATTTTGAATGCATGAATACAACAGGAGGCAGAAAACAGATGTAAAATAAACAGATTTTGACACCCAAGCTCTTGTAGGTGAAGTATCCTGAATATAAAGTTGGCATCTCAATTCAATCTAAACAATAAAATCCTTAAAATGTTTACAGAAGAAAACACTACAAAGAGTATCAAGGGGAGGGGGTACTTTCTCAGGGTGCTGCCAAATACTAATATACAGATATGTGACTCTTTTCCGAAGTCACTTAAAAGTGTAACATTTTCTCACTCAAAATATTATTTGGTTTCATTTGAAGTTAGACTAGACATCTGCAATTGGGATTAGAGTGTTTGAAATAAAGACCATGGTACGTGTGTGTATGTGTGTGTGTGTTGGGGTAGTGCTAGGAGTGTTCGTTTATCCACGTCATCCTATTATAACTTAAAATTCATATAAGAGATCATTTTAACACTTCTTAGTTCAGCCTAGTATTTGAACTGGTTAAAGTCATCTATTTCTATTCAGATGGTTTAGCAGAAGGAAATTTTGGCTTGCACCATAGAGAATTTAAGGCCGATGTTTAGTTCTGACACGATGTAATTGCAGGATGTAGCATATATTCATTCTACCTCTCTGGGCTTCAGTTTTCTCATCTGAAAAAGGAGAGATGTGAATACTCTCCCAAGTTGCTCCAGGCAGTCTGTGTAACTCATTGCCAAGGCAGGCCTGGCCTTACTGAGGTCATAAGGATCAATTTGCTCTGTCAATAGACATGGTTCCATGGAAAATGAAAGAGAACCTGATGATACATTCACTTAATGTTTTTCTAAAATGAACTAGTTTCAAAACTTTACTTCTACTAAACCCAAAAGACTCAGTTTCCCAGCAAATGTGTTGACTGCAGTATGCTAATGTAGAAACATATCGTGTTGTCTCATTTAGTATCAATGAAAACACATGGTCAAATCCATAAATTTATAGTGATTTTCCTTTTTAATATCCACAGATATGACTTCATTTCCTGGCTTAATAGATAATTTCTTAAAAGACCGATAATGATTTTTAAAGAGGCAAAACATTTTGTTTGGATTTGATGATTTCCTTTTCTCTTTACCTAAGTTTTTGGGGTTTTCCCCCAAATATTTTACTGTGGTAAAAACACAAACCATAAAATTTATAGCTTAACCTTTTATTTTAAGTTAAATTTATTGAGGTAACATTAGTTAATAAAATTATATAATTTTCAGCTGTACATTATCATTTGACATCTGTATATTCTAATGTGTGTTTACACCCAAAGTCCAGTTTCCTTCAGCTACCATATATTTGATCCCCTTTACCCACTTCACCTTCCCCCTACCCACCCCCCTATATTTGACCCTCTTTAACCATCTACCTACCCCCTCTCCCCGACCCCTTCCGTTATCCTCTGGTAACCACTAGTCTATAGTCCATGTCCATGAGTCTCTGTTTGAGCTTAAACTTTTTTAAGTGGACAGTTCAGTAGCATTCATATTGTTGTGCAACCATCAGCACCACCCATCTCCAGAATAGAGAGATATGGGCTGATGAAATCTTTAAAAGATCATCCAATCAGCATGGCATATGAAAACACACCTCTTTTCCTACCCCTGCCAGTGCCTTGTCTGAATCAGAAGCTAACACCTTTCTACCTGTACCAGCTTGAAAAGAAGTTAAGTTTTCCAGTTGGTGACAAGAAAATGAAGGAAATAAAAGGACTATAGAGTCTGAAGTCAACTCCGTATCTTCTGCAATACAGGGAATGCATTTGTAGGAAAAACAAAAACATTATTGCTATTTCCTTAGGCTGGTAGAAGCAGCAGTCTTTGAGCATAAGCTCGCTGAAAGAACTGGTCCCATTCCCAAGGTTTT